CTTCCAATCTTTTGATCATACTGTATATTGTTAGAATCGAAGTTAGTATATGCACATCGGAAAGACACTAAAGTTGGAGTTTTGGTTATGTAGATATTCGTTACCGGGTTCAGTATAGACTTGAAAGAAAAATGGAATACAGGAACATCAGTAGGTACCGAGGAATCATCATTTATCCAACACATCAAAAATATAGTAAAATAATAATGAAACAATCTCGAAGCCTCTTTCTTCCACTCAATATCAATTCAGAATTGCAATCATAGATTTTGAAAAAATACATGAACCAACTCGTTTTCCAACAACATCTATTTGTTGGAAGAAATAGTGGCATTAGGTAATGTATATCGTAAGATATACATACCGTAATAGATCGATAGACATCCTCAAATAACTATAAAATTATATTTTAGGGTAAGTTCTAGTCCCAATTCAAGTTGACAACTGATATTTTCGGAATCGGCGGGGTCGAATTAGTCTAGAAACTTGGGTTGTCACGAATTAATAAGTATGTTTTACTTCGTAGAAGTCGAATTTGGATTATCGCAACCAGATAGAATATTTTTCAGTAGGCTTAGAAAACAAAATCATGATATCAATAAATGTGTCTGTCATCCAGCAACTTTCGGGTTGTCAGTATCTTAAAATATCATATCAGCGTATATCTTTATTCTGAGTGTTTTTTAAGTCGTTTTCAGTAATTGTTTAGTGAATTTAGTGCGCATTATGGCATTTGCAAATAGGGTAAGATGTTATGTATGCGAAGGGAATTTCATTCCTAGACTCACAATTCGTATAAATCGTGAAGATAATGTTGATTTTCTGCAAATTGCAACATTTAGAAGACAAGCTGCTGGAAATCCTCCAATTGACATTTTTGATGATACCAGAGTTTGTTTCAATTGTCATAACAGTGTAATAATTGATATCAATGAGATGGAAAATAACCCAAACTGTCTTCGCCTAAATGTATTGAGTCCAGTAATGAGCCGTGCCTGCATAATCTGTAATGCTCGTCAACATGTTCAGAGAATAACTCTTGCATGTAGGGTGAACATTTTTGTTGTAACGAATATTTATGTTCCGGACTTTCTGAGAATTTGTGGTCATCATCTTGACCCTCATGGATTTCTCTTGAATAATTTGCATGGAGGTTTGAATTTTATCAACAAACCCTATTTGATATCAAATATGCTTCAATTTCTACAGTGTATGAGAACAGTTGCCAATGAAAATAGACGTATTAGAAACTGGGATGATATTGATAGTTTTACAGAAGAAGAGTTCAAAGCTCTGACGTCGATTTCAAAAGAAGATTTTCGAGAACTTTATGGATTTTGTGATACAATCGAGCAAGGGGGAAATAGAAGGCATATCAAAAAGAAACATTTACTGACATTTCTAATCAAAATGAAACATAGAGTTTCAGATGAGTTTTTGAAAATCTTGTTTCATTTTTCTTCAAGACAAACAACTAGCTTGATAATATCGAATGTGAGGATATCTCTAATGCAAAGATTTGTAACTAATAATATTGGTTTCGACTCTATTACAAGAGACGATTATATTAATAGACACGTGTCTGTATACACCAATCAGCTATACAACCCTTCTCCCAATATCCCAAAAGCAATTGTGTATATAGACTGTACATATAACAAAATAGAAAAAAGTAGTAATTTCCGGATATTGAGACAATCCTACTGCTTCCATAAAAATGAGCACCTGGTTAAGCCTGAAATTATGGTCGCTCCTGATGGCTACATCTTGGCAATTAATGGTCCATACTTTTCTGATGCTAGAAATAATGATGCCACCATTCTGCAGCATGAGCTACAGAATGATATAAATAGAATGAGGACATGGTTTCAAGAAGGCGATGTAGTGATAGTCGATAGGGGTTATAGGGACTCTATTGGTCTTTTACAGGATCTTGGTCTCCATTACCATATGCCACCATTTCTACCACCAAACCAAAGACAACTCACAACAATCGAAACTAATAGGGCACGCTTAATTACTAGCACCAGATGGATTGTAGAGGCTAGAAATGGGCATTTCAAATCGATTTTCAAATTTTTCCGAGGAGCGATATCAATAACACATGTTGCAAAATTACGCGAATTCTATTTGATTGCTGGCGCCCTAATAAACAAATACCATCCTCCAATAAGGATGCCGGGCACATTGGAATTAGCTACACAAATGTTGCATGATATCGAAGAAGTCAACATTGTTCAGGCCCGAGTTGAGGCTGAAAACCTCCGTACAAGAAATGGTCGATGGTTTCGTTTGAACCATAGACATGTACCGACGTTTCCTCGACTTGACTTAGAATATTTGAAAACACTCACAGGGTCATATCACATTCACTTAGCTGCCTCCTACATACAAGACACGATACAAAGAGATGGAGGGGAACAAAATACACTCGATATTGACGAACTCATTGAGGAACCCAATTTTTTAAGATTTCGAGTATTTTCTCGGTTCAGAAATGCCACTAAACATATGCTGTGGTTAGTATTCAGAGAAATCGATGATAATAATTTACAAGATCCGCCCATTTTAGGGTACTACTGTACTTGTAGGTCCGGTGCTAGAACATTAGGGACGTGTGCACACGTAGCCAGTGTGGTATGGTTCCTTGGATACGCAAGAAACCAAGGAAATATTACCTTTCCATCTGATCGCCTTTTGAATTGTATCGACGATGCTGCAAATCGATTGAATCCTGAAAATATGAACATCGGTCCGGAACTGATTTGAATCTGGCGATTAGTTGATTTCTGTGTTCCTTGTGAAACATAATTATAGTAGTAGTAGTAGTATATGTCCTTCGTTGGTAGGTATGTACATACCAACCAACCATCGATCCCTAATGAGGTCCTTTAGCCCATAGTGTTCTGAACATGTATCTATATTGTATGTAGGCACGCAACAGTGAATCGTGCAGGACTATCCCCAGCCGATGCTCCGAAACTTCACAATATTTAATTCGTATATTAATATTCGAAAAATTCCTTGCGCTGTCTGGGAATCGAACCCACGACCCCGCAGTCCTGACTCGGGTGCTCGTCCACTGCGCCAATCCTGCCTACACACAATCATATTATAGGTATTGGAACTCTCACTTTCTAACGTGGACTAGGCCTACAGGGGATACCACAATAAAAAAAACGCGCCTGAAACTCTACCTCTCAGGTGGTGGGGAAACGAGTTGGTTTGTCTATTTTTTCAAAATCTGTGATTGAAATTCTTAATTGACATTTTTCTTTCAGGCCTATACTGAACCCGGTAACGAATATCTACATAACCAAAACTCCAACTTTAGTGTCTTTGCGATGTGCATATACTAACTTCGATTCTAACAATATACAGTATGGTCAAAAGATTGGAAGTTGGTTGGATATAGGAGAGTTGCAAAATATATTAACGCGCACCTCTTACTAGGCGTTTGCGGAAGTTTAGTTTCATACTTTTTTCGAAAAGTAGTCATAGGATTGAGTTGGGAAAAACCGCTGTCGACTTCGAACGCTCATGAGTTTTAGCACGTTTATGAGTGGGATCGTTGATGAGTTGAAAGTTGATGAAAGGGGTGCGTAGAATAGTTGTGTCGTTGATGAGATTTTTTCGGGGGCATATTGTGATTTGTTTGATGTTTTCTGAAAAACATTTTCGAGATGTTTTGCTAGCGGACCTATAATAAGACCACTAGATTTTGTTTACGAACAAATCACATTTTTTGACATAGTTGACTAGTGACTACTAGTTTTGCGATTCGGAGCAATTTTTCGTGTTATTATGTAATTACTTTTCCATAATTATTTTCACATTATTCGATGTATAAAAAAAAACTAGTCATAGCATGGGTCTGAAAATTCCCAATTTGATTGAAATATCCATACTGAGTATATTGGTGGAAAAAAATCTTACATCGACGGTAATAATTTCGAATTAGAGGGTGATGAAAAAAATAGTGGTTTTTGAATATTTTTTCGTGATTGTCAATTTTTTCAATCGATGAATCACTCTGTATATCATGGAACTCATTGGGATACATCCTTCAAAAATATTTTGAATGTCTGGAATCAACCCGATAATACGAGGTGGCCCAATGAACTTTAGGATAGACCAATTATGCAATCAACAGCATTAATGAAACACCATGTATAATTATTATATTTTACGAATTCAATTGATGTAAGAAGAGCATACTTGGCTATAAATCTCATTTTGTAATTGTTATCAATTTGTAGCATTGATATTCAGATATTCAAAAAAACACATTATTTGAAATGAGAATCACCCTGTAATAAAAATCAGTTTTGGTCGAATACCTATATAGTTCTTGCGCCTAAGGGCATAACTATTACGTGCTCCCGAAAAATTGGAATTCATTTGTCCTATCTTAGAGATATAGGCCGAGAAAAATTAGGTATTCTTCAACTTCAACACCCTGTATCTCGTAAACTAGTCATAGGATTGAGTTGGGACTTGGCATATTCAATCAGTATGTCGAGTACTATCATTTACCAAAAATTGGGGAAATTCGACGGAACGCCATTTTTATATAGAAAAAGTGCGGGGTCCTTTCCTTCTACCGGGTCAAGTTGAAAAACAGCCTTGGCTGAACTTCGCCCTTCATCAATGCAATATCAAACACACTCAATCTTGATGCAATTTGTGATTTGTAATTGATGAATAAAGACCATTATTATTATTATTATAATTATTAAAACCAAAGGAGTGTCACCCGGTATTAGGAACATGAAAAATTGGTACATACATATAAAGAAAAACATTGGGAATTCGCATTGTCTATCTATAGATAAAATGTTAATAATTTTTTGGTATATTCAGTCATTCACTCAACCAGTAACTTAAATGATGTTCTATATCTGAATATGCTTATTTTGAATTCGAAAGTGTTACATCCCAAATTCAGAGTGATTATTCTGTCTCAATTTGATTGCAAATGTATGGTGTTAGGTACTCACATGATGACTGAAAATAGTAGTAAGTAAAGATTCATCATCTGCAAACTGTTGCACATCCTGATGCCAAAAATTTGCAGGTGACAGAACCAAACAACTGTACTGGGGTAAAATATTCAATAAATCATTTTTCGTTTTCTTGATCGCTTCAATATGAAGACATAGATGGCCCAGTGTCTTTGAGCTAAAACAAAATCATAAAGTTCCAATGTTGGCCATTCCTCAATTACTGAACTCTTCAATCACCTTTCTGTATCCTGATAATTTCTCACGACTTCCAATAACTTGAAAGCTTCGTAGAGAGGTGCCCTGAAAGCATCACCCAGAGTCAAGTCCTGTTCCCATGGCATAACGCCAACTCGCACGACAACCTGCTGTACATAACAAAATGGCTGCACTCCATCTGTGGAGTTCAGATTCGATGACCACACCTGAGGACCTTTGCCAGGAAATGGCAAATTCACGAGTGGTAGCCTGAAAATAACATAGTGTTTGGTTCGAATATCAAATATCTGACATATTACTGCCATTATTCAATCGTCTAATATTTTTAAGGCCTTCATCGTATAGGCTGTTGGAGATTTGAGTATCAAAGATAGAACTTAGTCCACTCACTCCTGATTAGCTAAGAAAGCTATATATGTTTCAAGGACCCTTATTTTGAAGGGTCCTTACTAGTTACTATCGTATTATTCATTTTTACCTGAATTAAGTATATTAATTCAATAGAGTTGATTTGGACTCGTTAAAGTATAAAATGTCCAATTTGGAAATGAGAACGATAGAGAAAATTTGTCAATGAACATTATACAAATAATTGTTTTTTCTGTGACGGGAAAAAAGTTTGAAATTTCGTCTCTGTTGATAGGTTATAAAATGTAACTTTTCATAAATTACGTGTGTCCCATGAGCAAAAAGTGAGTACTTTTTTCCTGGATATATATCACATCACATAAGGCATTTTCGGAAACTTACTCGGGTTGTTCGGATCCCTATAACCTGAACGTTCGGTTACCCAAACCGAGTTACCTACCTCTGTTCGGAAACTTGAATGATGCTAACTCGATCACTGACTCGGGTTGATTTTTCGTGACCCTACTCAAAAGCAGGGTCGCCAGAGTTGCAAAGGACACCGCATGCGCATTACGGAATTTAAGCTGTTTAAGTCAATAAAAAAACGCGGGAGTTTACATTCGACGATAACAATAATAATAAAATAATTTGCATGTTGGGAAAAATCACGACCGGTAATATACATGTTCTTTTCAATCTTCATAATTTGATTAAAGTAATTCATTGAGAAGAGAATTTGGGTAGGGGTGAAGTTTGTGGTTATGTGAAACAACACATATGAGACAAGTACACCAATCCACAGGTAAATATAAATATTTGTAATAAGATCAAATAATTACTTGAATATAATGTGACAATTTTCGTCTGTCAAATTCATGAAACCACAGGAAAAATATAATATTCAGTGTTCCTAACCTGACACGTTCGAAAACGTTGAACACGAGTAGATGATCCGAGTTTTTTGTCACGTGACCTATCTGGTTCGAGTTATCAACCCAGAGTAAGTTTCCGAAAACGCCTATTCACTGTTGATAACTTTTGTTGTGTTATAGTTCTGAAAAATAAGCCAATAACACCGTCTTCGAGAAAGAACTGCAAGTCCTTTTATATTCCATTCCACTTCGCATTTGGGTAAATTACTAAACAACCACTAAATTCGCAATTTTTGAAATTCAAATCACAGAATTAGAATGATAAGATGTCTACAAAAAGATGCCCGCAATGCAGGTGTCATTCCTGTTGTAAATTTCAAATTTCACGACGATAATTTTCTGATTTTAATATTGTGTGACACCTTCTCAATATTAATTCGTCCATTTCTCCATCACAGAAAAAAATAGTGTATTATACACGGGAAAAATAATCGATTTTAGCTCACGGTTTTTTTGTCTCCCTCCGCTTTTCCCTTGTATAATGAATAACTATTATTAGTCGAAGACTTAACGATTATTAGGTATGATAATATTAATAATAAGTTTATTAATAATCATTCTATACTTGATTTTGTCTGTTTTCCTTATTTCAAGAACAGGTAGAGAAAAACCGACCTAGAGGTCTACAGCTTGATTTATGTGAAACAACGATTTGTGAAAACCGCACTTCCATATCTTTTACCGATTCCGAGATACAGGCTAAAATTGACATTTGACCGATTTCGAAAAAATGTCATAACATTGTTATACAGTCAGTTTTCTCTAGATGTTCTGGAAATATGGAGAACTGCCATGATCCATCATCAAGCTATTTGGGACACCCTGTTCAACACAATAATAACACCTAATAAATTATTGAACAATCATGTGTTTATAAACAAACTGAAAATACCATTAATGAGAACTTGTGCGTGGGTTGTTTGATTAAAATCATCCAAAACAAACGGATAAAAAAACTAGTAGCAGATTATATCATTAATATAGTAGGTAATTGGAAGTCAATATTGAGATGTTAAAATATACAGGGTGGCCATTTGAAAACGAAACAGAGGCTCTGTAGGTCGCCAGAACCAGATTATAAAATACCCTCAAAACACGTCAAATACATTTTTCTACAAACGCTTAACAAAGTAGCCTTTGACGCTTTCAAATTCCAGCACAAAGTTGACGTTTTCCCAGAAATGTCATTCTTTGACAGCATTTGCGCTCGTGAGCGGAAATATTGAAAAAAACGCTCGCTTATCTCTGTAACCTATACTTATCTATTCTTGAAAACCCCCAATTCTTTCATGATGGGAAATAGTGACAGTGAATCATCAAACACACCTCCTTCCTGATGATATAGCAGAAAGCGCAAGAGTTTGAATTTCTTACCAGAGAAATCAAGAAAGAAATATGAATTACAATATGATACATTCATAAATTGGTGCCACTCCGAGATGGTGAATATGTATTCAGAAAACGTTTTACTGGCTTATTTTGGTAAAAAATCAAAGACTTTGAAGTCATCAACTCATTGGTCTATATATTCGATGGTACGTATACATGCTTGAATGTTAAAGATAATATCGGAATCAATAAGTATCTGAAACTTATCGCATTTCTCAAGAAACAATCTATTGGATATAAAGCGAGAAAAATCCAAAAAACATTCACCGCTGAAGATATATACCAACAAATTTTTACAAGAAGCTCCCGATGAAGCATATCTGTTGAAAACGATGAATTATACTTTATATTTGAACTCTTTGTTGTCATCAGGAAGACAGTGTATCTTTGTCAGTTATTTCAATTTTTCTTTTTTTGTTTCCTTTGGACATATAGGATGATATGGATAAGAACTTTTTCAACTATTTCAATCGCTCATACTTTCAGGGTAGTTATTCCCAAAAGCTGCGTTAGTAGAAAAAATCTTGTGTGTATTTCGAGCACAAAGTGTTATTGCCGCTCTCCAAAGATTACCGCGCTCCGCTCCGCATCGCGCGGTAACTTTCTTTGTCGAGCGGCAATCTATCACTTTTGGCTCTAAATACACAAATAGCTATTTCGAGGGGGACATCGTTCCAAAATATTTTCAGCGCTGTGGCGTTGCCGCTTCTATCGAAAAGTAGCAACCACTATTTCCAATGGAATTTTCTGCTACTGAGGCTAATCAGCGACGCCGATGAGCACACTATGCTCACTAATCTAACATTTTCCACGTCTTTTTCCTATACCTGGCCATCGAACAACAACTTCCAGACTTGAATAAGGATTCGACTATCTAACCAACAGAACACAGGTTGTCAAAATAAATAATACTCTTAGTAACCCATTACCTATAGTAATGGGTGTTCCACAGGGGACAGTATTGGGACCGATACTATTTATTCTGTACATCAATGAATTATTCTCAATAAGTAATTTCGAAGGTAAATTTATATCCTACGCTGATGACACAGCAATTACATTTGTTGGAAATACATGGGCAGAAACGTACCAAAACGCAGAATGCGGATTGAAATCAGTATATAACTGGCTCAGCAGTAGTCTGCTGAGTCTTAATATTTCTAAAACAAAATTCATTGCATTTTCCTCCACATCTAGAGATCGCGACATTCCAAATAATTTACTACTCCACACTTATGATTGCCCTGATACTCTTCAATGTCCTTGTCAAACAATAATGATGACAAAATCTATCAAATACCTAGGGGTTTTCGTAGATCAACACTTACGTTGGGAAGATCATATCAGCTACACAGTTAAAAGACTTCAGAAATTAATTTATAAATTTTACCAGCTGAGGAATATATTTAATAAAAAAATGTTGCTAATGGTATATAATTCCCTAGTTGAGTCCATACTACGTTATTGTCTCATTGTTTGGGGAGGAACATTCAAAACATCAGTGCACAATCTGGAGGTTATACAGAACACTCTACTAAAAATAATTCTCAAAAAAAAACAAACGTTTCTCTACACAACTTGTATTTGAAGAGTCAGAAGTATTCAATTTTTAAAAATTATACGTTTATCAATCGCTTCTATGGATGACAAATATGCCTCAATTGACAGTTATTCATGGTTATGAAACACGTAGAAATGCTTTGCAAGCCCTTTCTATCCCTTGCTTCAGACTTACCCAGAATCAAAAATTCATAACGTTTTATGGTCCGAAATTCTATAATCTGCTGCCTGCTGACATAAAAAACATCAGAAATATAAATCTCCGTAAAAAACAAATAAAAACATATTTGATAACTCACCCTCTTCCATTTCTGGAAATTCTTGATAATTGATAAATTAAAAAAATATAAAGATAAATATTCACTTGAATAAATGCTCCTTCTCTCTTTCTTCGTACTCTTATAGATTAAGTTCAGGTACTTACAGTTTTGTAATTTAATATTTGCATCGTAAAATATTGATTGCACAACTCAAGCCCTGCTTAGGTGGTTTCTTCTGATTAAATTTTTCTTGAATATAGATAGATGTTTTGTTCTATATTCACATACATATAACAATAACTATAGGTTTATATTTTTATATGTTCCGTAATGTATTTGTACGTTCTAACTCTGTACATTCAAACTCTAACTGAATAAACTTACTTACTTACTTACTACTTACTTACTTCTGACCGTGGTGGAAGACAGGCGGCTTCTTTAGGTCAGAAGTCAGGTTGTTGTTTTTGTGATTGTGTTGTGACTTGTTAGTTTGAAACGCTAAAAGTGCACAACCTGGTATCACTCCGAGTGAGATATCCAGGGTGCTCGAAAAAGATAACCCTTATTATTTTCGCCGGTACCCAGGCCGGATGGGGACGAATTCTCCGTAATAAGGGCTCTGGCTGTATGTCGTAAGACAAGAGGCCATATATTCAGAGAGAGAACTTCCAGACTTGTTGCTCGATGACCTGGCACTGGCGCGGTATTTGCTATTATCGCTGACACCTGGTCAATACACAAATGGGTCACTCTGTCTGTG